TTCTGGGGCTGGGGGTACCAGCTGGGCTGTTGGTCCTCTCCACTATCATCTGTTTCAGTGACGAGCTTTGATGTAACATTGTATTAGTTTGTTAAAGCTGCTATAACAAAATACATAGACTGGGTGGCTCAAGCAACAGAAATTTATTTTGCATGTTTCTGGAGGCTGGAAGTCCGAGATCAAGGCGCTGGCAGTGTTGGTGTCTGGTGAGGGCTCTCTCCTTGGGCTGGGCCAACTTTTCACAGTAAGCTCACATGGTATTTCCTGGAGGTTTGCATGGGGTGGGGTAAGAGAGAGTTCAGGCTCTCTGGTGTCTCTTAAGGACACAATATTACGGGATCAGGCCTCCACTGTTATGGGACCAGGCCTCCACATAACATTTAACTGTACAGTAACTCATTTAACTGTACTTCCAATACAGCCACACTTGGCATTAGTGTTTCAAAAAGGGAATTTCAGGGGACACAAATATTCAGTCCACTACAAATATCTACTGGGGAGAAAAAAATTTCGATAGTGTTTGAGAACCTTTTCCTGTGTCAGAGCCCCCAGGGACTGAGATGACAGAGGGGATGGACCAGAGCGGGTCTTGACCCCCAAGGCTACCCAGTGAGGGGACAGCAGGGCCTGGTCACACCACAGGAGTGCATGTTATGGGGCCCTCCTATGTGGATTGTAATTTAATGAAAACTCTTCTTAGAAATAATGGCGGTTTGCTTACACAGGACTATGTGGTTTAAAAAAGAGAGAAAGAAAAGAAAAAAGAAAAAGATGGTTCCCAAGTCAAATAGAAATCTTTTTAAATCCAGAATGGGGCTAAAATTGGCTACGAATTGAAAGTCAGTGGGGGATAATTCCCTTGAAATACAATTAAACCAAGTACACAATGAAGCACAGAGTGCACGCTGAATCTATCTAGAGCCTGGGATAAGTGTTTAGTTTTGTGATAAGGACTTGTAGAGATTTTAAAGGAATCTTCTGGGCTGTCTTGATAACACTTATTATACCAGATTCCACTTACTTGGACACAGCTGTACTGTAATTCCTACCTTTGATTTCCCAGCTATTATTAACACCTGTATTTTACTCACAAATGTAATGAAGAGATAAAGAGACAGTGGACATTTTCCAGCAGTATCTGGAAAGGATCTTGGTACTGCATTGTCACATCAAGCACGTGTCTGACACACAGCAGCTGTTTGGTAGACATGTACTGGATGGATACATGAATATGTCAGAACTAAGTGACACAGACAGGGATTTGGGGTGAAATGGATGCTGGCTTACAAATGAGGAACTGATTGCTGGAGGTGGCATTTTCTGGTGCTTGGTGCTTGCTGGTTCTGGACGTCCACCTGCCTCCTGGTGGCCCCTTCCAAGTCCAGTCTGTGGGTCTGCATATCAGTGTGTTCTTTAGTGTAGAGTGTGGCTAGAGGCCAGGACAAAGGAAGGGTGGGAAGATTCTCCGAGCCTCCGATGAAGATGCCCTGAGTCCTTGTGCTCTGCAGGTGAGGCTCTGGCACCGTCTCTGCTGTTTTCACACTTACTTTTTCCTTCCTGACTTCTCCGGACTCGGTCTTCACACCTTGCTCTTGTTCCCTTTCTACCTGCAGCTGCAGTTCTCCAGGGCTGCATGGAACTTGGAGAGAGCATTGTGGTGTCTGTGATGACTAACGTGGGCACCTTGTTGGTGTGTCCCCCTAAAACTCACTGTGTCTGCAGGGGGTGGCATTAATGGGACATGAATGAATGAAGAAAAAAGACCTAGAGGTGCCCGAGAAAGAGTGAGCAGTTGCTCCAGAGGAGCCTGGGAGGGAGGCAGAAGAGGAAGTCTGGTGGGAAGGACATTCAGCCAAGTCAGACTGACGGGGCTTATCTATTTCTCCCCTCTGCTCTGTGGGAAGGAGCTTGCTTTCTCCTGCCTCCATGGTCCTGGGTCAGCTGCGCCTTCTCATCAGACTTCCTCAGTCACCTTGCCCACCATCTCCATTTCCCCGCAGGACCCTGGGTCTCACTCAGGACCCTGCACTTGCCACATCTGCTCGCAAAGTGCTGACTCTGTAGGAGCTGCTGATATACATTCAGGGGCTCCTTCGTATATACATAATGGGGACTCCTGGATTAGTGTCACAAACCCAGAGGCCCATGGGCTCTGCGGGGAACACAAAACTATAGCCAGGGATAAAACACTTGAAGGAGGTAGAAGTAACATTTTTTCTTTCATGTTTTTGTGATTGCAAGAGTGGTAAATATTCATTGTAGAAAATCAGCAGAGAGCTTGACGGCTGTGAATCCATCACCCTGAGGACTGGGCAGAGCAAAGCAAGCCTGAGAAGGATTTAGGCCTCTGGGGGCTGTGGTCTAACTTCTGCCAGGCCAAGTGCCAGGGATGGGAGGACATTGATTTCTATCCAAGTTCAGTGACTGTGCCAAGGGCCCATGAGGAAGTGGACTTTAGACAGGATTCAGCCACCTCCTTTGTTCTCTTCCTCCAGAGGCAGCTGAGTTGCTTAAAGGAAGGCAGGGGTGCAGGGGAGGCTGTGGGGCAGGTGGGAAGGAGGGCAGAGGAGAGGCCCTGCACGCAGTGTCTGTTCACAGGGCACAAAGATCCTAAACGTGCTTGGGAATATGGGCAGAAAAGCCCGAAGGTGATGAGTCTCTCCAAGCCCAGCCCGTGAGTGGGAATTGGGGGTGTGGGCAGACACGGGGTTCTGAAGTGAGTAGCTTCTGGCGGGACTGTGGTCATACCGCACCAGGTGCTGCTTCAGCCCTTCCGATGTCCTGCCAACCCAGGCCAGGGTGGCCATGCCCAAGCCTACCTTTCCCTCCTCCAGGAAGCCTTGGGGATGCAGGGCTTGAGCTTAAGCCATCCCTGAGAGCAACCTGGCCAAACTGCCTTCCTCCCTGCCTCTCCTCTGAGCACAGGTGAGGACGCTGATGTGTTTGGCCTTGTCTCCTTCTCTTGGGGGCCCAGGATGGCTCTAGTCACAAATCCAGAGGCCCACAGGATCCACAGGTAGCACAGGCACTGCAGCTGACAGAAGAGCATGTGTCCTGGTCAACAGGCCAAGCTGCCCTGAGCTCTGCAAACTGGAACCTTGTAGGAAGGCAGCCTGGTAAGGCCTCATCTTCTGACATCTGGACTTAAATAAATTCTCCTGATTTTTCAGTGTTGGCAATGAACCTCAAAACATTTTAAAGGAATGTGCAGGCCAAGCCTCATATTACCAGAGGCTGTCTTTGACTGGCACGTGCTGGTGGCACTCCATGAGCACTTACAGTGCCAGGGAATGTTCTGCCCACCATCTCCATTTCCCTGCAGGGCTCTGGGTCTCACCCAGGACCGTGCACTTGCCAGCGAATGTTCAGGTCCTTTCCATGCAGTCAGGTTGCCACTGCCGTCATCTTGCCTCCCAACTTGGAAAATGATGCACAGGCAGAAGTGACTGGCAGCAGATCACAATTTAATTGGTGGTGTTTGAACGCTGGCAGCCTAGCTTGAGCTCCCACAAGCAAACCCCGAGGCTTTGACCTGTTTCTATGTAAGACTGAGTCCCTGGAGGGTGTGGCCAAGATTTAACAAGCGGCTCTGTTTTAATGAGTATCTTCTATGTGCTTAGCAAGTACATGTTACCTTCCAGCCTCAAAACAACCCTGTGAAGTACACTTAACATCCTTATATTAAGGGTTAGAAGATTTAGAAGGAGTGATGTTAGCACACCCTGTTCAATAAATGGTGCTGGCAAAATTGGATTGCCATATGCAGAAGAATGAGACTGGACCCATATCTCTCACTATATATAAAAATCAACTCAAGACGAGGCACAGTGGCTCATGCCTGTAATCCCAGCACTTTGGGAGGAGGGTGGATCACCCAAGGTCAGGAGTTCGAGACCAGCATGTCCAACATGGTGAAACCCTGTCTCTACTAAAAGCAAAAACAAAAACAAACGAAAAAAATAGCCAGGCTTGGTGGTATGTGCCAGCAATCCCAGCTACTCAGGAGACTGGGGCATGAGAACTGTTTAAACCTGGGAGGTGAAGGTTGCAGTGAGCTATGATGGCGCCACTGCACTCCAGCCTGGGTGACGGAGCAGGACCCTGTCTTAAAAAAAAAAAAATCAACTCAAGATGGATTAAAGACTTAAGTGTAAGAACTGACACTATAAAAATCTTAGAAGAAAATCTAGGAAAAACTCTTCTGGGCATTATTGGTCTAGGCAAAGAATTTATGACAAAAACCTCAAAAGCACAAGCAACAAAACCAAAGAAAGACAAATGAGACTTAATTAAACTAAAATTTCTGCACAGCAAAATAAACCATCAACAGAACAGACAACCTGCAGAAGAGGAGAAAATATTTCCAAACTATGTTGTCCAGTAGGGGACTATTATCCAGAATATATAAGAAACTCAACTCAACAAAAAGTCCAAATAATAGCATTAAAAAATGGGCAAAAGACACGAATAGACACTTTTTTCAAAAAGAAAACATATGGGTGGCCAAGAAGCATATGAAAAAATGCTCAACATCACTAGTCATTGGAGAAATGGAAGTTAAAACAAGAATGAGATCTTATCTCACACCAGTGAGAATGGCTATTATTAAAAAGTCAAAAAATAACAAATATTGGTGAGCATGCAGAGAAAATGGAACACCTGTGCACTGTTGATGAGACTGTAAATTAGTACAACCCTTGTGGAAAACAGTAGGGTGATTTCTCATACTGTCTTAAAAATGGAGCTGCCATTTGATTTAGCAGTCACACTACCGGTATCTACCCAAAGGAAAAGAAATCAGTATATTAAAAAGAAACCTGCCCTTGTATGTTTATCACAGCACTGTTCACAGTAGCAAATATATGGAATCAACCCATCAACAGATGATTGGATAAAGAAAATGTTCATATATATGGAATACTACACTGCCATATGAATGAGACTGTGTCTTTTGCAGCAACATGGATGGTCATTACTTTAAGTGAAATAACTCAAACACAGAAAGTCAAATACCACATGTTCTCACTTGTAAGTGGGAGCTTAATAATGTGCACACATGGACATGGAGTTAGTGGATATTGGAGGTTCAGAAGGGTGACAAGGTGGGAGGGGGTGAAGGATGAGAAATGACTGAATGGGTACAATGTGTATTATTAGGGTGATGGTTACACTAAAAGCCCAGACCTCACCAGTAGGCAATCTATCCATGTAACAAAACTGCCCTGTACTCCCTTAAGTTTATTATTATTTTAAAAAGGAGTGACTTTCCTGAGGCCTCTCCGCCTTGAGTGTAGAGGGCTACGACTGACACTCAGGTCCATCTCTTTCCGTGCAGCCTGGTGTCTTTTCGAATCCTTGTGTCCAGCCTGGGGCCAGGCTCCAGGGGGCCACTGAGGATGGTGGGAGAGTGTCCGGGCTTGGCCGCTGAGGCTGCTGGGCAGGACTCCTGGGGCAGCCTCCTGGCCTGGGGCTCAGTCCAGGGTGGGAGCCTCATTTGGCTCGGTCCTTCTCGCTCTTCTGTGGTGAGAGGCACTGCCAGATTCCCCTGCAGACCATCTCATTGCCCAGGGCATAATTGATGGCATTGATCGTGGGCACCATTTTGGCAATGAGGGCGGGCACCTGTTGTGGCAGAAAAATCCAGGAAAGAAGCTTCAAAGCCACTGCACCTCTCTCTGGTCCCACCTGGTGACCCCAGTCACCCTCCCCCTGCAGCTGCCAATCGTTGGGTTCTGCACGCTTGGAGCCCTCCCTGACTAGCTGGCGGAGATGCAGGGCTCATGGAGCCCCATGCAGCCACACTCCTGTCCAGGCACACCTGCTCCCCGCCTGGGCACCAGTCTCAACCCCTGTTCACAGAGTCTTTATGTACACCATCTGGCTGGCTGTCCCTGTCATCTCACATGAGATTTGGGCAATGTCAAAAGCAGCCTGGTCTAACTCAGGAATGAGGTCGGGGATTAGGGGGGCCAACTAATGCTCTATGCATTGTGAGTATCCAAAGGAAGAAACAGAGAGGAAGAGACTGGCACTGAGGACATAAATCCAGAAAGAGAAATGAGGTGAGACAGACACAAAGACGAGAGGGGTCTAGTTCTGGGTACGAGAAGTATCCATACCATCTGCAGTTTGGGGGAGATGGAAGTCACGTCTGCGATGACTGCATATAGATACAGGATGGCATAGGGGCCCCAGCCGAGCAGCAGTGTCCTGGCTGGCAGAGTGGTGTTCACCTGGGGAGAAATTGTCACAGGAAACGTCAGCTTGCTCCAGGCAGCCCACAGCCTTGTGTGGCCAAGAAGACTAGGTCAGCGCTCAGCCAGGCTGGGCTTCAGGAGGGGGCTGAGTCCGCAGGGAAACTTGAGACCAGAGGGGCTCTCTGTTGTTTAAGGCTGTGTGACCTTGAGCCTTTTATTTAAACTTGCCTGACCTCAGCTGCTGTGTCTGTACAATGGCCTGATAATATCTGACATGGCTGGAGGCTGAGACTGGGGTGGATATGAGCTTCCTCCTGGGTCTGTACTCTTTGTTTGTTTGTCAGATATAGACAGGGTCTCACTATGTTGCCCAGGCTGGTCTCAAACTCCTGGGCTCAAGCGATCCTCTCACCTCGGCCTCCCCACGTGCTGGGATTACAGGTATAAGCCACTGTGCCTGGCCCAGGTCTGTGCCCTTTAAGAGGAATCCTGGGCTCTGTGACTGCATGTACAAGTGGCTCCAGGCTGAGCTGCCAGCAGGCCTCAGTCCTAGAACCAACTCACCATCTGCAGCCACAGCCACCTGGTGAGATCACCCAGTCTCGGCTCCCCCTACAACCAGAGGGGAAGGGGCTTGTCCGGAGAGAGGGAGATGCTGGGGTGCCGCCTGGGGCCACGAAGGGGCGAAAGACTCGAGCTTAACTTCAGTGGGAGCTGCCAGGTCCCTGCCCCACACAGACAGGAGGATGTGCAAATTCTGACGCTAAAGTTCGTGCCTGTTTCTCCCAAAATGACTTTCTTTAACGAAGAGGGTAATTAACTTGGAAGAGAACATATTTTCTTCTATCTTGGATTTTTGAAATATGCTGACCAAGAGACATTTTTTTTTCTCTTACTTTTTATTTGAGGAAAAAAAAGAAAAACAAGAAAGCTCAGCACTGTCGGGCACTCTCGGGGGCCGAGGCCGAGAGAGGTGGACTCCCCTGGGGAGGCTGCTCCATCCCGGGAAGCCGCTGGGCTCGGGATGGGGTCCCGGCGTGTGACCTTGTTGATGCCACCAGAGACAATGGTTTAAAGTCAACCCAGAAAAATGAGGCGATCATGGTGGCAGCCATGTTTCCCGCTTGACTGAGCCTCCAATAAATGTGGACTTTGCGCCTCCAGACAGGGCTTGGGGCGGGCATCATGCAGGATAGCCTGGAGCTGGCACCTATGCCAGCGGCAAGCTGGGAGCCAGGAGAACGGATTCGGGTCCCAGCAAAGCCCTTGCTCTCCTTCTGTGACCTCGGGGTCCAACTAAAATAGATTTGCACAGTCCCTTTCCAATTCACAATAAGTAAATAAAGTGGCAGATGCAGTGACTTAAAAAGAGAGTGTTTCTTTTATGTGCTGTGTTTGACTACGTGGGTGGTGGAGTGTGACAGCTAGGTTTGAATCCAGGTGTGTGGCTTTTGGTGAGTTGCTTAGTTAACCCCCTTCTCAGCCTCAACTTTTTAGCAGTGACACAGAGATAAGAAAACCTCCTTCTGGCCGGGGGTGGTAGCTCAAGCCTGTAATCCCAGCACTTTGGGAGGCTGAGGAGGGTGGATCACCTGAGGTCAGGAGTTCAAGACCAGGCTGACCAACATGGTGAAACCCTGTCTTTACTAAAAATACAAAACAAAGTGAGGCATGGTGACGGGTGCCTGTAATCCCAGCTACTAGGGAGATTGAGACAGGAGAATCGCTTGAACCCCGGAGGTGGAGGTTGCAGCTAGTCGAGATTGTGCCACTGCACTCCAACCAGGGTGACAAAAAAAAAAAAAAAAAAAAAAAGATGGAACAAGAAAACCTCCTTCATCATAGAGTGGTTGCAAAGGTGAAATAATACTTGTATTTGAATTTGTTCTAATCTTTGTTGCTTATTATGACTCCTTTGCTAGAGGTCATCCAGGTGACCAAGTTAAAATAAAACCTTGGCAAGGGAATAGTAATGCAGAAATTAAAAAGTGACCAGAAGGGCTTATTTTGAAGTATTGTATTTCTTGGACAAATGTTCCTGTAGGCTTGATTTTTATCTTGTGGGCACCAACCTGAGACTGTGATTAAATTAAACATCTCAAAGCAGTTTAAAAGTAGCATTTAAAAAGCCTGTAATTTTGTGCCAAACCTCAGATCCTTGGGAAGAATTATGTGGAACAGCATGGATGGTGTTGGGCAGGGAGCCCTGGTTCCAGAGTTGCCTGATCTGGATGAATCTGAGCAGTCCTGATCCTTGCTCCCCAGGCCTTGGCGAGCTGAGCAAAGGAAGAGTGGCTTCCAGTTCTAACATCCTATACTGTGTACAAGCTGGATTATCTCTTGATCATTGAAAAATGCAGAAAACCCCTGGTTGCTGAATGTCACATTGTTCATATTCCCTGGTGTTCCTGAGAGGAACCGAGAAATTTCTGCTGCTCTTGAGGCAGGAGAATAGCAAAGGGAATTGGAGGTTAAAGGAGGAATGAGTAGAAGCAGAAGCAAGGTGAAGAGGCGATGAGCAAGAAGCAAGACAAGAAACAGAAGTTGAGCAGCCAAAACAAAAATAAGAGTAAAAAGTGAGTAAGAAGCCCCCATGGCCGTCTAGATCCGGACCAAACCGGTTAGAGGCAGTTCCTCAGAAATGGGCATGCGCATTGGAGAGAAAAAGTATCCTTAAAATGACCCTGTATAATAATAAGCTCATTAAAGCTCATGCATATGCACTGCATATCATACATGTACTTAAGATTATGGGATGGAGGTGACAGGCAAGGGCACAAGTTACCAAAGTAACTAAGCAACCCATCTATTAATCAAACAGCAGACTCGCTAGAGATTAGGTAGCTTTGGGAACCTTAAATACACCAAACTGGTGTTGATCTCATTTATCAGAGATCAGTCCACTCTCCCCTCTCCGAGAGTGTAATACTGTGCTGAATAAACTTTTGCTGCTTCGCTTTGCTGCAAAAGCAATAAATGTTTGCTCTGCTATTTGTGTGTGTCACATCCAGTTCTTTGTTCGGGACACCAAGAGCCAGGAGCTGCACAGCACCGTCTGATAACACTCCAGTGGGGGCGGTTCTTACCTGGAGATGGCCACTTTTCCCCAGTTTCTGCTCCATGAGCCGGTAGGATGTGATCGTGATGAAGAGGGGCATGGCAAAGTTGAAGAAGGACATGGTGAAAAGGAAGCTGCTGAAGTTTCTGCAGGCAGAGCGGGTAGAGGATTGGGGTCAGCTCCCAGGGATGGCCAGCGGCTCTCAAGGACCCACCAGCTCTGCTCTAGATAATCAGATGTGGGGAAATGCCCCATTCAGACAAGCACTTAGTGTGGTTACTCCCGGGTCCCAGGTGAACTTCCTTTAGGAGCCAGGGAGCTATGAGGTCCCCCTAGAACTTGCCTTTAGAAGCCAGGGAGCTGCAAGGAGGAAGAGGTCTCTGTCTTGTTCAAGTGCTCAGACCTGCTTTCCTCTTTGTCCCCCAAGCATAAAGAATGGGAAATTTTAGTTTGGGAAACATGTTCACCAAGTGGTGGGGATGTCAGTGGACCAAGAGGAACATTCGAGGAGCATTCTAGGCCCAAGGGTTTTAAAAGGAGACTATGGATAACAAGAAGATTGGATATTATTCACTGAAGAAACGGTTGAAGGGACCACAGAAGAGCCTGGGGTCCCAGATAGTGGTCATGGGGAGGTGAAGGGACTGACCGGGAATGGTGGGAGACCCAGGGAGGCAGATTGCCATTTCCTGAGTGAAGACTATGTCACCTTGGAGCTGTCCACCAGGCAGGGGCAGCTGGAAGGACTGGACCCTGCTGGGGAGTGTCATGAAGGGACACTTGGACCAGGCCCAGCATTCTCAAGAGAGCATCACCTGGAAAGCCTGTCATCCAGTGTGGATGCCTCATGATTAAACACCCTGGGTAAAGCAGATGAATGCAACGTGACTCTGGTGGAAGCAAGAGGGGCTGGAGCCCATGTGACTACTCCCCAAGGCAGCTCCTAAAGGATTCTCCAAAGCCCTTGCCTCCCTAGAGCCGCCTGATGGGGCAGTACCAGAACAGGAGCTCCATGAGGGTGGGAACCCTCATGCATTCAGTCCTATCTCTCCAGGGATTGCCTCATAGCATATGCTCAGGTCATTTCCTCCCAATGCAAGGACCTTAATATTTTTTGAATCTATTGTACCAAGGGATAGCTCCCTCTAGAAATTGATGAGGTCAGAGCCATGACGGCCAACTGTGCTGGGACAGTTGGTGGCACAGCTTGGTGACTGCTTTCACTGACACAAGCCAATGGCTTATTGTATGATGTCTCTTTTTGGGTTCAATTCTGGGCCCTAATTTTCATAACATTCCCATCACCTGGCCAGTTTTCAGAACAGGCTTTTTCCAGTCCACCTGCAGGTGAGTATCATGACTAAGGAGTTGAGATTTTCTGGCACATGTTGCCATTTTCTCATTTGGATTTTCATCTTGGGCACCCCTGGCATAGAATGTCAAAGCTAAGATTCCCATGGAGCCTCAAAGATGATCCTCCCACCTCACCTGTCCCCCTTGGAGTAGTCCAGGGTGCAGCATGTCCCCAGTGGCTCATAGTCATAGTGGCCCCAACCCAGGAGAGGCAACGCTGCCCAGAAGGTAGAAGACAGCCACACGAAGAGCACCAGAGAGACGGCCGAGTTCCATGCCAGTTGGCTGCCTGCACAGGACAGAGAAGGAAGAGAAGGTTGTAAGGAGCAGATGGTGTGGTAGAGTGAGAAAGAATGGACTTCCCGATCTCAAAGTGTGTCCCTGAATCCCAGCTCTGCTGCTTAATAGCAAAGAGCTTCTCTGAGCCTCAGTATTCTCGCCCACAACGGGAATGATAATCCTTGCCTCAGAGGATTGTTATGAAGAATGAAATAGATAATGGATGGTGAAATTCTCCAGATGGACTCACTATACTACCTTCTTCAGAGGACAGAGAGAAGAAGGGAGTGGCAAAGAGGCAGTTGTGTTTTCAAAGCCAAGGTTCAGAAGGAGGCATGGGCAGAGGTTCAGGTGAGGGTCATAGGGGATGGAGGCAGAAGTCTAAACTTACCACCACCCTCAGCACTTGCTCAGCATCAGGCCACTGCCCCTGCTTCCAGGACACCCTCTGAGAGTACTTGACTAGGGGGTTGGGGCTCAATCGCAGTGCCAATGTCAGAGGCTGGGTCCCAGCAGCATCTTTTGATGTGAATCAGCCATGCTAATTTGACCTCCTCTGGTCCCCACCCTCCTCTCTGCTGCAGCGTCATTGAGTCTTTCCCATTCAGTGGTTCCTCCTGAATCTGGCTTCAGGATGCACTTCTCAGGTGCCCTTCTCTGTCTACTGTTCATTTGTTACACCGTTTCATACATAAGATCCCAGGGCAGGGGACAGGTCTCCAGGGGGGGTCTCATTGAGAGAGAAGAGCATATCTACAACCTCCCTCATCTGACACTTTGATTCTACTGATATGGCCCCAGATGCAGTTTGCTTGGATGTGCCCTTCTGATATGAACCTAATGTCTGTGTCCCCTCAAACTTGTATGTTGAAGCCCTAATCCCCAATGTGATGGCATTTGGAGGTGGGGCCTTTGGGAGATAACTAGGCCAAAAGGGTGGAGCCTCCATGATGCGGTTAGTGCCCTTATAAGAAGAGACACAATTAGCTGGGCATGGTGCATATGCCTGTAGTCCCAGCTGCTCAGGAGGCTGAGGCAGAGAATCACTTGAACCCGGGAGGCGGAGGTTGCAGTGAACTGAGATCGTGTCACTATATTCTAATCTGGGCAATAGAGTGAGACTCTGTTTCAAAAAATGGAAGAAGGAACACAGGAGTGACAATATCTCTCTTTTTCTGTGAGGACATGGCAAGAAGGTGAACATATAAACCAAGAAGCAAGCCCTCACTGAACCTGACCATGCTGGCACCTTGAACTTGGACCTCCCATCCTGCATAATTGTGAGAAATAAATTTCTGTTGTTCAAGCCACCCGGCCCATGGCATTCTATTATAGGAGCCTGGGCAGACTAAGACAACTCCCATCCCAACTGCGGGCACAATAATCATCTGCATGAATAGGAAGACTCAATATACTTGAGATGTCTGTTCTTTCTATCTTTTTTAAAGTTTTTTTGAGACAGTCTCACTCTGTCACCCAGGCTGGAGTGCAGTGGTGTGATCTTGGCTCACTACAACCTCTGCCTCCTGGGTTCAAGCAATTCTCCTTCCTCAGCCTCTCAAGTAGCTGGAATTACAGGCACCGGCCACCATGCCTGACTAATTTTTGTATTTTTAGTAGACATTGGGGTTTCACCATGTTGGTCAGGCTGGTCTTGAACTCCTGACCTCAAGTAATCTGCCTACCTCCGCCTCCCAAAGTGTTGGAACTACAGGCAGGAGCCACGGTCCCTGGCCTCTCCCTCCCTTTCTCCCTCCCTCCCTCCCTTCCGTCTTTCCTTCCTTTCCTCCTTCCTTCCTTTCTCCCTCCCTCTTTCTTTTCCTTCCTTTCTTCCTTCCTCTTTCTTTCTTTCTTCCTTCCTTCCTTCCTTTCTTTCTTTCAGACTCTCATTCTGTTGCCCAGGCTGGAGTGCAGAGTGGTGCCATCTCAGCTCACTGCATCCTCTGCCTCCTGGGTACAAGTGATTCTCTGTGAGCACAATAATTAATACCTATCTGGTCCCTGGTGCTGCCTCAGACTTTCAGCTTTAGAAACAGATGCCTACAACCACCCAGTGATGGAGTACATGAATTCAGACTTCCTTCTTCCCCTTTGCCTGTCTTCACACTGCTCTGCCATGCCCTCGGTATTGAAAGGGCTTTGATCTGAGGACCCTGGCGCAGGGATTAACTGATTAACTGTTCTATATTGAGGCAGAAAAGCCTGTTGCTGTCTGAGGTGGTGGTAGTGGTGGTGGTGGTGGTGGTGGTGGTGGTGGTGGTGGTGGTGGTGGTGGTGGTGTGTGTGTGTGTGTGTGTATAAGATGGTCCAAAGGAGCATTAGGGGTGGGGACTGGGATAGAAGTAGTAGGAGAAGTGCTCCGAAGTCAGGTGGACAGGAGGGGCTACCCATCACCATTCAAAATGATGAGACTGAAGGCAGCATTTTGGCCTGGAGAGAGGCATATGATAGGAGAGACCCATGAGGGGCAGTGACTTTGCAGAGAAGGAGGCTGTACATGTGACTGTGGCAGGGGAATTTCTATAGATTCCAAAGAGGCCACGCCATAGCTTGAGACTGTGCTGGCCATAGACCTCACAGCAGCCTCTGTGCTGGGCAAATTCATAGCTCAGGACTTGGAAGTACAAGGTCATGACCAACGGCAGCGCTACCCTTAGTAGCTGTGTGACCCTAAGCAAGCTGCTTAACTTCTCTGTGCCTTTGCTTCTGAGGCTGTGAGCTGAGGGTTTGCTAGGAGGGTGAGCTGAGCCACAGTTCCCCAAAGCATATTTATGTACCCCTGGTGGTGAGCAGGGTTCTAGATGGTCTCTGGGTGAGCATGTTTTCATTTTAATATGTATTAAAAGTATAAGTACATTAAAGCTGTGATTTCCCAGATATTGTTTAGAATGAGCTTGAAGCAAGTGTTTACATTTTAAAAAGTGAGTCAATTTTAAGAAAAAAAAAATCAGGTCAGTTGCAGTGGCTCACACCTGTAATCCCAGCACTTTGGGAGACACAGGCGGGTAGATCACGAGGCCAGGAGTTCCAGACCAGCCTGACCAACATGGTGAAGCACCGTCTCTACTAAAAATACAAAACTTAGTTGGGCGTGGTGGCATGTGCCTGTAATCCCAGCTACTAGGGAGGCTGAGGCAGCAGAATTGCTTGAACTTGGGAGGCAGAGGTTGCAATGAGCTGAGATCGCACCACCGCACTCCAGCCTGAGCAACACAGCGACACTCTGCCTCAAAAAAACAAAAAGAAAAAAAGGTCAAGGAAAAACAGAGCCGTTTGCACACTGATATGGCCAATTATGAAGATGGCATTTTACAATGCAGCTTGACAAATCTAGAGCTGGAGCAGTTTTCATGAAGCCTCATGGAAGAGTGAGGTGCCAGGGCACATGCCCAGCTACACACACATACACACAGCCTCTCTGTGCCTCAGTAGTGCCTGTCTGCAAGGGCATTTTCTGTATCCCTGATCTTATTTGATTTTCAAAATAAAACTGAGGTTGGTTATTAAAATCATCTCACAAAGGAGGAGACTAAGGTTCAGAGGGGATCCCTGACTTGACCAAGGTTGTAGTCATGGCAAGAGAGCCTCAGCAGGTCTCCTGCACACTCTCCCATCCTCCCTCCTTTCTTGAAATGAGTGCCCACACATGATAGGCATGCACACTTACAGCCACCCACACTTCCCTGTACTGGGAAACGCGGAGCAGCAGCTAGTTCTGACTGTCCCTCCCTGCCTCTTATTCTCTCCACACTGCATTGGTGTCCCTCCACTCCAGGAGCCCAGATACATACGGGTGCAGTAGTGGTGATAGCGCCCCCAGGCGATGGCTGCACTGCCGCAGATGCTGGCCAACGCTGTCACAAAGCCCTGGAAGCCGTGAACCTGGCAGCCGTCCGAGCCGTAGGGCCAGCGCCTGTGGGAGACACTGGGCACCAATGACCCCTCCCCTCCGACCCTTTCCACCTCCCATACCTGCCAAGTACAGCTTGGAGTGTGTGTTCCCTGCATGTCCAAAGAGGCCCTTGATATCGCTGTCTTTGCTATGAAGCTTTAGATCTAAGTCACTGGGCTGAAGGGGTGGAGCCCAGTGCACACTCTCCAGGCTGGGCGACTTTGACTGCACTACGGTTGGGCCATAGGCTCTCTCTGCGTGATCAGATGCCTCTGTCACAAGAGAGCTCATGCCTGTATTTGATAGGTGGGGAAACTGAGGCTCAAAGAGGCAAAGATACCGAAGCCAAGGTCACAGGTCACATAGATGAAAGGAAAGTCAGAGGGGAGACCCTAGGCCTCCCTATTCCCAAGTGCCAAGCAAAGTTGGAAGCTTCTGTTCATTGTGGGAGGAAGAATTCTCACTGATGCAGACCCCCAGGCTGGTGAGCCCTGAGCATGTACATCCAGGTGGGCTCCAGCCTCCATCTGTAGCAACCAAAAGCAGAATGAGAATGCCCAGTCTGCTTCAGAAAACAATCTTATAAACGCTTCCTGAAGCTGTGATGGAAGGCCCTGGTTTGTGTATAAGGAGGTATTAGACACTAGCCAAAACCCTGTTTGCTTTCACAAACACTTACTTAGAGCTCTAGGTGTCAAGCATTATTTTAAGTTATTTACATACAATAGAAATAAATACTTCCAACCACCCATCTGAGTTAGGAAATAATATCCAGTTTATGGAAGAAGCCTGGAACTAGAAATGCTGAAGCCAGAATGCAAACCTAGGTTGCTTGGTTACAGAACCCACGCCATTGATGTCTACAGCCTGTCATCTCTTTCATCAGGTTTCAGCAACCCCTGCCTTCCAGAAATCAGCTGCCGTTCTTCAGAAATAATCTGGAATTTAGGCCATTTTAGCCTTCCCACGCTTAGCCCTTGGCCAATTTTCTGTAAATACGAAAAATGCCTTTGGCCTGGCTGCCCAGGGTCCAGAGGTCAGGCCCCAGGCAGGATCCCAGAGCCTGTGGATTGGAGAGGGGGCTGGTACCGGAGGAGGCTGGATGTGGCTGCAACGAGGGCATTCAGGCTGATCCCACTGTCGGCAAGAGCCAAGCTCAGCACCAGCAGGTGGCAGGGAGTCCGCAGCTCCGGGGTCTTGCAGAAAGAGAAGATGGTCAGGCTATTGAGGCTGAGACCGGAGAGAGCTGAAAGGAAGGGTGGGGGCTGGCATTGGGGCTGCTGAAGCCCAGCTGGGGTCACAACAGGGTGCATGGGATGGATGGAGCATCAGCAACCTCCCGGACAAAGAAGACAATCAATATAGCATGTTTCATGCTATAACAATCATAATCACTGACACCTGCAGGGCACTTATCACACACCAGGCACCAGGATAAGCACTTTACGTGAGTCATTTCATTCAGTCTTCACTTGGACTCTCTTCTCCATTTATAGCTGGGAAACTGAGGCTCAGAAACTGTAGCTCAGAGACTAAGTACATAGCTAGTAAGTGGTAGAGCTGGAACTTGAATTCCATTATGTCCTATTGGATTTCAAATTCCTTTTGGATTTCAAAATGTTTACTCTAAGGGCTGTAGAGCAAAGTCAGAGAGCCACCAAAGGGAAGAGTCGACCTTAGAGCTGAGAGCTGCCTAGGACACCAGGCAGGGGAGTGAACATGAAGAAGGTGTTCTCTGGCAGCAGAGAGACCTGACCTTGAATTTTGGCTTGGCAGCCTCACTTACTGCTCCTGAAGCTCTCTGAACCTCAGCTTCCCCCATCTAAAGTGAGGAACAGGAAAAACTCCTACCTGCAAAACTGTAAGAAGCACTTACCTGCACGACAATGTATGGAAGAGCATTCCAGGAAGGAATAGCAGATGCAAAGACATAAAATGATACAATGAGATACCACCTTACTTCTACAAGAATGGTCATCATTAAAAAGTCAAAAAACAACAGATGGGGCCAGGCGCGGTGGCTCACGCCTGTAATCCCAGCACTTTGGGAGGCCGAGGCGGGTGGATCACGAGGTCAAAAGATCAAGACCATCCTGGTCAACATGGTGAAACCCCGTCTCTACTAAAAATACAAAACATTAGTTGGGCATGGTGGCGTGTGCCTGTAATCCCAGCTACTCAGGAGGCTGAGGCAGGAGAATTGCCTGAACCCAGGAGGCGGAGGTTGCAGTGAGCCGAGATCGCACCATTGCACTCTAGCCTGGGTAACAACAGTGAAACTCCGTCTCAAAAAAAAAAAAAAAAAAAAAAAAAAAAAAAAAGCAATAGATCGATGGCATGGATGTGGTAAAAGGGAAATGCTTATACACTGCTGGTGGGAATGTAAATTAGTACAACATCTATGGAAAACAGTATAAAGATTCCTTAAATAACTAAAAGTAGATCTGCCATTTAATCCAGCCAAAAAGACACACCCACATCTATGTTTATTTTGGCACAATTCACAATTGCAAAGATACAGAATCAGTGTAAGTGCCCACTGACCAATTAGTGGATAAAGAAAATGTGGTATATATACATCATGGAATAATACTCAGCCTTAAAAAGGAATGAAATGATATCGTATGCAGTAAATTGAATGGAGCTAGAGGCCATTATTCTAAGGAAAGTAACTCAGGAATGGAAAACCAAATATCATGTGTTCTCACTTACAAGTGGGAGCTAAACCGAGAGTATGCAAAGGCATACAGAGTGGCGTAATGGACTCTGGAGACTCAGAAGGGAAAGGGTGGAAGAGGGGGTAGAATTTTTAAAACCTACATATTAGGTACAACCTAATATGGGTTGATGGGTGCACTGAAATCTCAGAATTTGCCACGATGTAATTCATCTATGTAATCAAACATCACTTGTATCCCCGAAGCTATTAAAATTTTAAAAATATTTTTAAAATAAAATAAAAACCAAAGCATTACATATATCATGATATTTCTAATCATCAAGAATGAAATAAAAATGTAAATTTAAATACCTTCCAAAAAATAAAGTGGTAAAGTTTTATGGCGTGTTTGAGGACCTGGAAGGGATGCTAGATTGTAGGGTCCTCAGGAAAGGGAGACACAGGCTGGGGCCACTAGACAGTTGTGTCTAGGGCCTTCAGGACCAATCCAATGACTCACTTCCTCTCCATCGTCAGTTCTCATTAGGTGAGAAAATGTGCTGATGTTTTCTCTGGGTCTGCTTTGAACCAAAGCTGCATTTTCCATCAACCTGGCTTGGGCTGGCCCAGATCAGGATTGACACTGTCTCTAGCTCTGGCCTCAACGAGTATCTGAGGGATTCTGGGTTGGGATAGGTACCTGGCGGACCCAGGTAGCCTCCAGAGGGGAAGTGCTTAAGCTCATGGGAGTAGACACAGTGAAAATAGTGGTGAGGCTGGAGAGGATGGGAGTGAATGAACTTAAATACCCTGGAATCTATTTAGGCTAGCACTTTATGCCCGTTATCCCATTTAATCTTCACAATCAACCATTCAGAATGTCAAGGCATTGAGGGCAGAGAGCTGAAGGGACTTGGTTACAGTCACTCAAGAGCAGGTGGCGGAGTTGTCTGTCCCCAGAGCTTTTTGGGGGACTTATGTGGGATTCTTAGCAGGATTTCCAAGCAGTGGATTAAATTTTCTCCCAGCTGGAGGGACATGAAAAGTCCTAAAGCCTGGCTCTTGATCATCTCCTGGGCAGATGTCCCCTCTTAAAGTCTCTCCCTCCCCGGCCCTTGCCTGGCTTACTCTCTGCTCCCACAGGTTCAGGTGGCAGAACAACCCCTGAGTCCAGGCACAGAGGGGAGGCAACCAAAGGAACCTGACACCCAGCTGGCTATGGGGACCTCTCCTCTCCTTGCCAGCTCCACATTGGTGGCCTGGGTCCTCAGTACCCACTGGAGCCCTGCTGTACCCCAGGTTCTGCCTGGCTCACCTTCCACCAGCAGCACCATCCCCACAGCCAGCACCTCGAGCTCCCCGAAGCCAGTGGGCAGGGTGCTGGACTCTGCCATTCTTGCTCTCCCTTCGTCAGTGACCCAGCTGTCTCTGGCTTCCCACAGCCAGGCCCTCCCTTTTAAAGGGCCATCCCACATGTGTGCAGGCACATGCAGGTTATTATACTGAACCTTGGGCTTTTTCTGGATGCCTCCCTCCTGTAAATGGGTCCTCTTGGCCCAAGCAGAAGGAACCCATTCACGAGTTGGACAATGCAGCCTTTGTGAAGCCAGAATGGAGCCCTGTCTCATTCATTTCAGCCCCACTGCACAGGATTAAGGTCAGGGAATCCAAATGTTGTGTGTGGCTGAGAGCCTAATTGGAAAAGAGTTGCATAACCAGGGGAGGGGAGCAAGCAGAGGAATTTGAGCCGCAGCTGTTCCTGACAAGTCCGGTGTCTGTGCGCGTGTGTCCTCAGGCTCACATGCGTGTGCTCCAAAGCCCTGGGGAAAGGGTGAGGTTTGGGAAGTTACCTGCTGTCAGAGGAAGAACCCCAACTGGGACCAGAGAATGAGGTTCTGGTTCCAAATCTGCCACTAACTAGTTACGTGCCCTGGAGTGGAACCACTGGACTCTTCTGTTTACTTTTCTGCAATGTCAGTGTCTTTTGTCCCTGTCGTTTGTGTCAGTCCTGGTTAGACATCGTGAATGTAAACCGCAGGGCTGCACTTCCTGTCTCTCATAAAGCACTTGAGCCCTACAAGCATAAAACATCTCCTAGGACACTGTCTTAGAACAGAGGGGCTGCTATCCTGTCAGTTCCTCCCTGCACCCGCCCCCCTCCCCACTAACAGCTTAGGTTGCTACAAATGACTTCTTGGTACAATGGCTCTTTATGCACTGTTATGTGCTGGCTCATGGTAAAATTTGCACCAGGAAACACTGATCTAGGGCACCTTAACTCATTTTCGGATAAAGAAACCAAGCCCCAGGGCACTGTCGGCAACACAGCTAATATTGAATGAGGTCAGGCACTGTGCTAAGGAATCTTCTGACCAGTCCTACAATGAATTAGATACCATTATCCTTTCTATTTCAGATGAGGAAACTGTGGCTGAAAGCTGTTAAGAATGTTCCTGAGGCCGGGCGCGGTGGCTCAAGCCTGTAATCCCAGCATTTTGGGAGGCCAAGGCGGGTGGATCACAAGGTCAAGAGATCAAGACCATCCTGGTCAACATGGTGAAACCCCGTCTCTATTAAAAATACAAAACATTAGCTGGGCATGATGGCACGTGCCTGTAATCCCAGCTACTCAGGAGGCTGAGGCAGGAGAATTACCTGAACCCAGGAGGCGGAGGTTGCAGTGAGCCAAGATCGCGCCATTGCACTCCAGCCTGGGTAACAAGAGCGAAACTCCGTCTCAAAAAAAAAAAAAGAATCTTCCTGAGGCCATGTAGTAATTTATGGATGGAGCTGAAACAAAAGCTAGGTCTCCTATTCCCGAGGCTCAGGCACTATTCAATAGCATCTTCTGATGCACTCTGGTAGAGCAACCCATTCTGTTCCATCAACATCCACTTCCCAGGCCTTTCCTCTCATGGGTCCTCACTTATCTCCAAGCCAAACCCCTCCTCAGGGCCAAGCTTATGATTGCACCCTCCAGAGCTTCCCATGTTCTTTTTCAATTTCTACCTTATGATGTTGGCTATTACCTGTGTCCGCCCTTTTTTCATGCCTTCAAGATCACAAAATGCTTCATGAGAAAAAAAAGTAGGGCAAGGCCAAGATTAAAGGGTAAAGTTCATTTAGGCAAAAGACAGAAGCAGAAAGAAGCAGAGATGTGGGGGCAGGCAAGCTGGTGGCTGGGTTTGGGGAGGAGGAAGTATAGCCGGGAAGCGCTGAGAAAACCCTACTGGCTGCATTGGAAGGATAGAATGAGAAGCCTCTATTGTCAAAACAGACCTGGCCAAGAGTTAGGCAGATATGTGTGCACTGGGGCCCCAGATATCTTTGCGGGCCATAACTCACTGGTCTAGGCCTGGCTGGACCCACAGGCCTGAGGGACTGGGGAACCTTCTAGAAAAGCCAAAGAATTTAGGTAGGGCATGTTGGACTGGAGAACAACGCCTTGGGGTCAAATGTGAGAAATGAATGAATGAATCGGCTGAGTGTCTACTACTGGGAATAATCCCTGGTCAGTCCCCTCTGGCCTGTTGAGTAGATATGGTAGGACGAGACAGGATTAGGAGATAATAGGTAAAAATTGAATTTGAGCTGGGTGCAGTGGCTCAGACCTGTAATCCCAGCACTTTGGGAGACTGAGGCAAGAAGATCTCTTGAGGCCAGGAGTTTGAGATCGGCCTGGGCAACATACCAAGACCCGGTCTCTACAAAAAATAATTTTTTTTTCTTTTTTTTTTTTTTGAGACGGAGTTTCGCGCTTGTTACCCAGGCTGGAGTGCAATGGCGCGATCTCGGCTCACCGCAACTTCCGCCTCCTGGGTTCAGGCAATTCTCCTGCCTCAGCCTCCTGAGTAGCTGGGATTACAGGCACGTGCCACCATGCCCAGCTAATTTTTTGTATTTTTAGTAGAGACGGGGTTTCACCATGTTTGACCAGAATGGTCTCGATCTCTCGACCTCGTGATCCACCCGCCTCGGCCTCCCAAAGTGCTGGGATTACAGGCTTGAGCCACCGCGCCCGGCCTAATTTTTTAAAAATAGCCAAACGTTGCCGGGCGCGGTGGCTCAAGCCTGTAATCCCAGCACTTTGGGAGGCCGAGGCGGGTGGATCACGAGGTCAAAAGATCGAGACCATCCTGATCAACATGGTGAAACCCCGTCTCTACTAAAAATACAAAAAATTAGCTGGGCATGGTGGCGCATGCCTGTAATCCCAACTACTCAGGAGGCTGAGACAGGAGAATTGCCTGAACCCGGGAGGCGGAGGTTGCGGTGAGCTGAGATCGCGCCATTGCACTCCAGCCTGGGTAACAAGAGCGAAACTCCGTCTCAAAAAAAAAAAAAAAATAGCCAAACGTGGTGGTGCTTGCCTGTAGTTCCAGCTACTCAGGAGGCTGAGGCAGGAGGATGGCCTGAGCCCAGGAGTCTGAGGCTTCAGCGAGCTATGATTACACCACTGCACTCCAGTCTGAGTGACAGCAAACCCTGTCACTATAAAGCAAAGCAAAGCTTTATGGATGGTTTGGGATAGAGGTATAAAGCAAAACAAAGCTTTATGGAAGGAGAATTTCCAAAGGCACTTATTAGAGGCTGGAGTTTTGTCTCCACAATAAAATCTGAAAGTGCCTTCTCTAAGGACTCTTTGACCACTCCTTTGGGACCCTTCTTGGAGTATGACCCCTTGAGGAGGGTGTTGCCCTTTTCCCTCATTGCGGAGCCATCCCCACCTTTGGCATTCGTAGTAATTCCTGGAAGGGCTCAGCTGAAACAGCAGTGCTCTGAGTCCCATATCCATGGGGTACTCAAGGCAGGCAGCTTTTTGCCTGGCAGCCTGGGACAGTTTGTGGGCTCATGAGAGACACCTCTGATGTCTCCTCAAAATGTCTGAACCTGTCCAGTTCCTATGTAACCAGGGACTTGTAAGTACCAGTGAAACTGGGTACTTATAACTTGTGAGAGAGCTTCCATTCTCACAAGCTGTCAAGGCTTTGGCATTTGAGTTTAATTTTCATAAACACCCTGCATAAAATAACTTTACTTCTCTTTGTCAGATAAGGACACAGAGGCCAAGAGATAATGTGACTCACCCAAGGTCACAGCCCATTAATGAAACAGCTGGGATCTGAACCCAGGAAGCCTCGGTCTGGAGCTTGGGCTGCTTCTAACGCCTTTCACACCATCCAGGAAGAGTTGCTTATTCATTGCTTTTTTTGCTATGAGACAATGTCACAAGAAAGAATTTCCAAAGGGCCTTATTAGAAATTGGGGTTCTGTCTCCATCTTCACTGGCACTCGTGGAGTCTGTGTTGTCTGTGGCCTGGTCTTGGGATGGGTGCTTTGCAGATGACAGTCCAGTGGTTGCTGTGCCTCTGGAAGTTGTCCTACTTGTCCTGCTTGCTGTGCCCTGGCCCCTCTGGGCCTGTGGCTGTTGCTACAGAAGGGGGTCCCCCACCCCCACCCTCAGGACTGAGTGATTCAGACAGCAATAAGCCGCTGAGTGCTGCGGCTGGGACTCCCCTCCCTAATCCCCAGCCTGTCCGTGTTTATCCGATGGCCTCAGGAGGAGGTGTAAGGGGCTGGCGAGCAAGTGGGCAGCTGCTGGGCTTGCTGGGCTTGCTGGGCCAGCGGGACTGAGAGCAAGTCCAGGGACAGGCCCTGCCTGGGCCAGAGAGGAGCCAGGAGCCTATGGGGTGGCAGTGGGCAATGCTCTGCTCTTGGCCCTCGGGTGGCCTCCCCAGGCCCGGGGCTCCTGCGCCCCTCCAGTGCAGCTGCAGCCTCCACATCTGGGTGATGGCAGGCAAGGCCAGGTATGGTACCGGGTGCATGGGATGGACAACCCAGCTTCCACTGCTCTGCCAGCTAGGCTGGGTTGGGAGGAGTTGGAGCTGGGGCCCTGAGACCAAGACCGGGTGAGATCTTTAGCTCCCCTAGCCCCTGAGGTCCAAGGATTCTATAGGGTGGTCTGTGCTGCATTATTCTCCAGCAAGCAAGGGGATGACTCTGTCAAAGAGGTACCGGGTACCTTTGCATATGGGCCTGAGGGTGAGGCACAAGTGTGCCAGTTTAGAAAGTCCTTCCTGAATCCTCCTCCAGGCTCATGGTGGAGAAGAGCCCTCCTTAAAGGCTCTGGAAGTCTCCCTACTGCTTTCTTTCTTCTCCTTGCTTTTTCCTATTCCCTCTTCTTTTCTATATTTCTCCAGCTCCTTCTTTCCCAGGCCTCTTGCACTCTCTTGCCTGACCTCTCTACAACTCCCAGTCATATCCCAGGATTTCCTATGATCCCACCCACGATGGGACCACTTGCCTCTCATTTTCCCCCTTTGGATCTTGGATCTTCTCTGATCCAGAGAAGAAGAGATCCCAGAAGCCTCAGCCTCAGTCCCTTTATGGGTACTCCAAAAAGCCAGGAGTACTCATTCCATGA